CACTTGCTTCACTTACCGTTCCACGGGAAGCTTTTTTTGAACATAAGAACCTGGACTATACTTTTAATTTGCTGAAGATTTCATGAGGACTCAGATGATTTTCATGTTTACTCTCTACTTAAGTTCGCAAAAACATATTTTAGCGACAATTTCTTTTTATTTCTAGATGTAAATGAATGTGAAACAAACAACGGAGGCTGTGATGACATTTGCCATAACACTGCAGGAAGCTTTGTGTGTTCATGTAGGTTAGTCATTTAATCCCTCTGCTGTTTAAAAGAGATTGATAAAACAAAATTTAGCTGTAAGCATTGCCTGATCTCAGAACACATTAAAACTTATGGGAAAAAAATTGGTTTTCATCCATTTAAAGAATGGCAGTCAAACTTTTAGAAACTCAGATCAGTACCTTTTTATTTTATTGTACTAAAATTTTGAACTTCTATTCTTGAACTCGAAAGGTGCCCAAGTAAAAACTGAAATGAGGATTTATTTTATTTTATCACCACAAATTATGATTACCAAGTAAGTAAAGTTTGTAATGGGCGTGGTCCTAAATTGCGGAGTAAAATAAAGAATGCATCTGACAGGAAAAAATTAAAATAGAAATAAACATGCCTTTCAGGAGTAAACAAAGAAATAAATTTAAGTGGAAGTCTCCAACTACCAATTGCTTTAATGTCAAATTAAAGGTTGGGGAATATTTTTGACCTTCTATCGCAATTCCAGATAATTTTTTTTTTTATCAATATTGTTTTTTTCTCCGTATAAAATTAAAAATAGTGCAGGCCATGCCTTTGTCTCAGGTGATAATTTTTTGCATGCATTGAAATTCTTCCATGCCAACAAACTTTAAGTCTTTGAATTTTTACACAAGTCTATGAATTGGAACAAAAAGTTGTTGTCCTACTAATAAACTAGATGGAATACAATATATAGAACTAACAGGAATAGAAACTACAATGTATGCCTGGATTCCAACTAGAAACAATTTTTTCAGTAACTGAGTAATCAGCTAGTTTAGCATTATTTAGTATGATTTTATAATTTTATTTTATAGGACGGGCTATGCTCTACAACCAAATGGTCATAGTTGTATTGACATCGATGAGTGTTCTGAAAATCGCAGAATTTGTAGCGGTGGTGAATGTATTAACACTCAAGGGAGTTTCACCTGCGTATGCACCAATGGCCTGAAACCAGGGATCAATAGCTCCCAGTGTATTGGTAAGTGCTCAACTTGTTTAATAAAGAAAGGTGTACAAGTTGCAGACAAATCCTTTAATTTAGACAAATAATAATGTTTCCAGGCAAATTAGATGTGTGCAGACAATTTTCGATCCATCCGCACTTCCTGATAAATCATGAAATGAAAAAAATGAAGTTTTCTTCTGCAATCCTAAACTGGTCAGACAAGTTTTATTTTATTCAAAACCCTTTTTGTCCAATTCCAAAACTTTTTCTCAGGCTGCCTTGTCTAGACATATATAGCAAAGTGTCCAACAATAATAAATGGTACGCAGACCTCATAAATAAGGTAATCATGAGAAAAATGTTACGTGGACCTCAATATTCTTAGCTAAACTATCTTTATTGCAAACGTTTCAAAAATTCCGACTTTATATCATTTTTTAAAAGGAAACAAATTAAATGTTTTTTTTTTAAATTCTCTGTGAATACATTTGAAAATTTTCCAGAAAATTGTATGAAAAAATGCTCTTCAATTTTCTTTTATCAAAATGAAACGCGAGTGAATTTTTCTATGTGCAATCTATTGCAAGTCATGTCTATATACAAGCCATTCACAGTTATAAAATTTTCATCAACGTTCAAATTATGTTTAATCTGGTAACTCTTACACAAATTTATTCCACAGATATCAACGAATGTGAGGACAAAGAGAGGAATGTATGCAATAACGGAGAATGCCTCAATACCATTGGATCCTATAAATGTCAGTGTGAAACAGGTGAGCTCTGCAATTTTTATCTTTTTCTCTGTCATCAGCTTGTGCAAAAAACTCCTCCATCGGATATATTTTACAACTTCAGTAACATCATAGAGTCAAACTTTGCAAAGATAGAATTCACCTACATTTGCTATTTACAGTACTAGTTCACAAACCTTAACTGGCAATTTTTTAAAGTTTTTCCAAGAGTCCAATATTTTAAAAATTTTAAATGCATTGGACGGAGGAAATATTTTCCGTATGGGCCGATTTCTTGCAACAAGACTTAGTGTACAAGGTGTCGCAATGATGCCAGTAAGTATACGTTAGTCTAAAAAATGTATTTTATCATGTAAATTTGACTGTTCATTTATGTAGTTGTATTTTGGTGCTATCTTTCTATGGTGGGCATATTGGGACGGTCACAAAATTCTGGGTCAATGGTGGAACTCAAAATTAAAAATATGAGACTTTCCAAGCAGCAAGTCTTTTTACAGTCAATTAATAGGAATGTAGCCTTTTAAAAATCACAATACGTAACTGCTTTGCAGTGGCATAACTGCTGAACATGATCTCATGGTGCTAATCATGGTTTCTATTGGGAAACTGTTGTGAGTTTGATTTTGAAAAAAGAATGATTTCTCCATCCTGTCTCTCATAGTGCCACATCTCTAATTGTACTAATCCAGGAATTTTCGGTTCAAACTGTTCTTAATACTTTCTGTAAATTCACGAGATGCATCCATCAAAACACAATTTTTTGACACATGC